TCTCCACTAAGAGAGTGGTGAGCCAGTGGAACTCGAACATGTACCTAAATCCACTATAGTCCTGGACGACTGCGATCTCACAGAGAGAAATGACTGGTGATGAATTTAACGGGAGGTACATCTCACCTCATGTGAGAGGTGAGATTGGGAACACAAGAACACAAGAATACAAGAACTAGGAGCAGGAGTAGGCCGTCTGGCCCTTCGAGCCTGCTCCGCCATTCAATAAGATCATGGCTGATCCTTTCGTGGACTCAGATCCACTTACCCGCGTTCTCACCGTATCCCTTAATTCCTTTATTGTTCAAAAAAAATCTACCTTTTTTTTTAAAAGCGTTTACTGAAGTAGCGTCAACTACTTCACTGGGCAAGGAATTCCATAGATTAACAACCCTCTGGGTGAAGAAAGTCCTTCTCAGTTCAGTCCTAAATCTGCTCCCTCTAATCTTGAGGCTATGCCCTCTTGTCCTAGCTTCACCTGCCAGTGGAAACATCCTCTCTACTTCTATCTTATCTATTCCCTTCATAATTTTATATGTTTCTATAAGATCCCCCCTCAATCTTCTGAATTCCAATGAATATAATCCCAATCTACTCAGCCTCTCCTCATAAGCCAACCCCCTCAACTCCGGAATCAACCTAGTGAACCTCCTTTGCACCCCCTCCAGTGCCAGTACATCCTTTCTCAAGTAAGGAGACCAAAACTGCACACAGTACTCCAGGTGTGGCCTCACCAGCACCTTGTACAGCTGCAACATAACCTCTCTGCTTTTTATTTCAATCCCTTTAGCAATGAAGGACAAAATTCCATTTGCCTTCCTAATTACTTGTTGTACCTGCAGACCTACCTTCTGTGATTCATGCACAAGGACACCCAGGTCCCTCTGCATAGCAGCATGCTGCAACTTTTTACCATTCAACTAATAATCCTTTTTACTATTACTCCTACCAAAATGTATGACTTCACATTTATTTACATTGTATTCCATCTGCCAGACCTTTGCCCACTCACTCAATGTATCTATGTTCCTCTGCAAAGTTTCACAGTCCTCTGCACACTTTGCTTTGCCACTCATCTTAGTGTCATCTGGAAACTTTGACACCCTACACGTGGTCCCCAGCTCCAAGTCATCTATATAAATTGTAAATAATTGCGGTCCCAACACCGATCCCTGGGGCACACCACTAGTCACTGACTGCCAGCTAGAATAGCACTCATTTATCCCCACTCTTTGCTTCCTGTTAGTCAACCAATCCTCTATCCATGCTAATACTTTACCCTTAATGCCATGCATCCTTATCTTGTGCAGTAGCTTCTTGTGCGGCACCTTGTCAAAGGCCTTTTGGAAGTCTAGGTACACCACATCCACTGGGTCCCCATTGTCCACCTCGCACATAATGTCTTCATAGAATTCCAAAAGATTTGTCAAGCATGACCTGCCCTTCATGAACCCATGCTGCGTCTGCCCAACGGGACAATTTCTATCAAGATGCCTTGCTATTTCTTCCTTGATAATAGACTCAAGCATCTTCCCCACTACAGAGGTTAAGCTAACTGGTCTATAATTCCCCATCTTTTGTCTACTTCCCTTTTTAAACAGTGGCGTCACATTTGCTGTTTTCCAATCTGCTGGGACTGCCCCAGAGTCCAGCAAATTTTGGAAAATTACCGCCAGTGCACCTGCTATTTCTCCCGCCATCTCTTTTAGTACCCTGGGATGCATTCCATCAGGGCCAGGAGACTTATCAATCCTTAGCTCCATTAGCTTGCCCAACACTACCTCTTCCGTAATTATGATTGTTTCCAGGTCCTCACCTACCTTCGTCTCTTTGTCTATTACTGGCATGTTATTAGTGTCATCCACTGTGAAGACCGATACAAAATACATGTTCAATGCCTCGGCCATTTCATCATATCCCATAACTAAATTCCCCTTCTCATGCTCTAAAGGGCCAACGTTTACTTTAACCACGCTTTTTTGTTTTATATATTTATAGAAACTTTTCCTATCTGTCTTTATATTCTGTGCTAGTTTTTTCTCATGTTCTGTCTTACTTTTCCTTATAGCTCTTTTTGTGGCTTTCTGTTGGCCTTTAAAGTTTTCCCAATCTTCTAGTTTCATGCTGTTTTTGGCCACTTTGTATGCCTTCTCTTTCAATTTGATAGCCTCCCTTATTTCTTTAGACACCCATGGCAGATTAACCCTTTTCTTACAGTCCTTCCTTTTCATTGGAATATACTTTTGCTGAGCACTTTGAAAGATTGCTTTGAAAGTCCTCCGCTGCTCGTCAACTGTCCCACCATAAAATCTTTGTATCCAGTTTACTTTAGCCAAGTCCTCCCTCATTCTATTGTAGTTCCCCTTGTTCAAGCACAGGACCCTTGTATTGGATTTTATCTTCACACTCTCCACCTGTATTCTAAATTCAACTATACTGTGATCACTCCTTCCAAGAGGATCCCTAACTATGAGGTCATTAATTATTCCTGTCTCATTACACAGGACCAGGTCTAGGATAGCTTGTTCCCGCGTTGGTTCCATTACATACTGTTCAAGAAAACTATCACGGATACACTCAATGAACTCCTCCTCAAGGCTACCCTGACCGAGCTGGTTTGACCACTCTACATGTAGGTTAAAATCCCCCATGATAATTGCCGTACCATTTTTACAGGCATTAGTTATTTCTTTGTTTATTGCCTGCCCCAATGTGATGTTATTATTTGGTGGCCTATAGACTACGCCTATCAGTGACTTTTTCCTCTTAGAATTTCTAATTTCCACCCAAATGGATTCAACCTCATTCTCCATAGAACCTACATCATCTCTCAGCACTGCCCTGATGGCATCCTTGAATATCAGGGCTACACCACCTCCCTTACCTTCCTGTCTGTCCTTCCGAATAGTCTGGTACCCTTGGATATTTAACTCCCAGTTGTGACCATCCTGTAACCATGTCTCCGTAATGGCTACCAAATCATATTCATTCGCGATGATTTGTGCCGTTAACTCATCAACCTTGTTACGAATGCTACGAGCGTTCAGGTAAAGTGCCTTTATGCTAGCTTTCTTACCCTCATGATTTCCAACATCTCTAATAATATCTCCTGAGTTATCCTTCCTTTTTGCTTCTTTCATAGTCTGCCTTGAACTTAAACCCTCCTGCACACATGCTAACCTGCTGCTTATCTTTTTATTTACCATCATACTCCCTGTCGTTTTCCCTTTCCCTTCCCCCCCCCCAACTCACTAGTTTAAAGTCCTAGTGACCACCCTATTTATCCTTTTCGCAAGAACACTGGTTCCAGATCGGTTCAGGTGGAGACCATCCCATCGGTACAGATCCCTCCGGTTCCAAAACTGATGCCAATGCCCCATGAAATGGAACCCCTCTTTCCCACACCACTGCCTTAGCCACGTGTTTACTTCCCTAATTTTCTTATCCCTAAGCCAATTTGCACGTGGCTCGGGCAGTAATCCGGAGATTATGACCCTCGAGGACCTGTTCCTTAATTTCGTTCCTAGTGCTTGATAATCCCCAAACAGGTCCTCCATCCTAGCCTTGCCTATGTTGTTAGTCCCAACGTGGACCACAACAACTGGATCCTCCCCCGCCTGCTCCAATATCCTTTCAAGCCGGTCAGAGATGTCCTGCACCTTGGCACCAGGCAGGCAACACACCATGCGGGACTCCCAATCCGGCTTGCAAAGGATACTATCTATCCCCCTAACGATAGAATCCCCTATAACTACCACTTGTCTATTTGCTCCCCCCGCTTGAATGGCCTTCTGCACCATGGTGCCGTGGTGAGCTGGCTCATCCTCCCCGCAGCCCTTTTCCTCATCCACACAGGGAGCAAGTATCTCGTACCTGTTGGATAAGGTCAAAAGCTGAGGCTCCTCCACTCCTGAACTCAGGATCCCCTTACCTGCCTCACTTGCAGTCACACCCTGTTGTCCCTGATCACTAACTGAATTTGAATTACTTAATCTACCAGGTGTGACTGCCTCCTGAAACAAAGCGTCCAGGTAACTCTTCCCCCTCCCGGATGTGCCGCAGTGTTTGAAGCTCAGATTCCAGATCTTCAACTCTGAGCCGGAGTTCTTCCAGCAGCCAACACTTGCTGCGGATGTGGTCACTGCCGTTCACGATGGGATCAGCCAGCTCCCACATCATACAGCTACAGCACATCACCTGCCCAGCCATCTCTACTTAGTTAATTACTTTATCTCAATTTATGAGTTAAATACTTTCTAATACTTCTCTGCTATGGTCCTTTCAAATAACCAGTTAATATATAAATAAAAACAAAGAGTAAATTTTTAACCAATTACACAATACAGAAGGTGGGATCTTTATGGTAACCTTAGCTGGTACAGGAATTGAAGCCACACTTTTTGGTGTTATTCTGCTTCACAAGCCAGCCAACTGAGCTAACCAACATACTTACTCACAGAAAGCAGTTGAGGCCAAAACATTGAATGTTTTCAAGAAGGAATTAAATACAGCTCCTAAGGCTAAAGGGATCAAAGGGTATGGGGAGAAAGTGGGAACAGAGTTTTGAATTGGGTAATCAGTCATGTTCATATTGAATGATAGCACAGACTCAAGCGGCTGAATGGCCTACACCTCCTATTTTCTATGTATCTATGAAGCAGGAATTAAAGTGCTCTCTGAAAAGACTTTCTCCCAGCTGGTTTCAATGATTGGAGATTTATAGAGCCTTCTCCATCAATCATCCTAAGGCCTCTTTGCTTGCTGTGAGGTAGAGCTTCTTATTGTTGGGGGTGAAGGGGGGTGTGGAATTTCATCGCAGCCATTTTTCTGTTAATTGCTGATGGTGGCAATTAGTGTCCCTATCCTCTGCATCTATGAAACCCCAGGTGCAATCTGACACATGTCTGAACAGGTTTTTTAAAATCTATCTTCACCCCTAACTGCCCTGAAGACAGGACAAAGTAAGTGATTGTGCCTCTCTGCTTTCTTGTTGTTCGCAGGGACAAACGGATTCATCAAGGACATTGAGATGATGATTGGGGAAAGGAACTGGCTCTTCTGGCTGTGGTGGAGAGTGTGTTGGTTTTTTATCACTCCGTGTGTGCCGGCAGTAAGGAGATGTCACATCTATTGATGATTTAATCTGAAAATAGACATTCCACAGGTAATCTAATTTTTTCACATTTCTAATATAGTTTTGTGTGTTCTTTTCATTTTAGGCAATATTGTTCTGGTCCTTAGTCACGTTTGCCCCACCAACGTACGGATCTGTTGAATACCCTGACTGGGCAGTAGCGCTGGGTTGGTGTATGATCATTTTCTGTATTATGTGGATTCCTATAATTGAGTATAATTGTCCAAGCTGAGGGCTCCACCTTGTGTCAGGTAAGGAAATACCTTGATATCTTTGAAAGTTCATGGGCAAAATTTTTGTAAATTTCCCCACTCTCATTGATAGAAGATCAACTTGGAAAATGGCATTGATTTTCTTGAACCAATTAAACACAGAAGAACACTATTCAACCCATTGACATTTGCTTGCTCCTTCAATCAGCATTTCTGCTTACATTAGAGGATTGTGTTTTTTTTGTGTGTGTATGAATCAGCAATGGCTCAGTTGGAAGTACTCTTGCCTTTGAGTTAGGACGTTATGTGTTTGAGTAAAACTTCATCACGTGAGCACCAAAATCAAAGCAAGATCTCATTGCAAGACTGAAGGCAAGTTACATTGCTGAAGCTTCCACTTTTTAGAGGACAGGTCCAACTGAGGCTCTAGCATAAGAACATAAAAATTAGGGGCAGGAGTCGGCAATTCAGCCCCTCGAACCTGATTCGCCATTTGATACGATCATGGCTGATCTCATCTTGGCCTCGACTCCACTTTCCTGCCCACACTCCCTAATCCTTCAACCCATTAATACTTAAAAATCTGTCTATCTCCTTAAATTCACTCAATGTCTCAGCATCCACCACACTCCAGGGTTGTGAATTCCACAAATTCATGACCTTTTGAGAGAGAGAAATTTTCCTCATCTCTGTTTTAAATCTGCAACTCTTTATCCTAAATCTATGACTTGTCATTCTAGAATTGCCCTACCTGAAGAAACATCCTCTCTGTCTACTTTGTCAATCCCCTTCAGCATTGTATGTACCTCCGTTAGATCTCGTCTTGTTCTTCTAAACTCCTGTGAGTATAGGCCTTTCTTCATAAGACAAACATCTCATCTCTGGAATTAATCTGAACTACCTCCAATATATCTCCATCCACTCTCAAGGGGACCAAAATTGTATATAGTGCTACAGGTGTAGACTCAATAATATTGTGTACAGTTGCAGCAACACTGCCCTACTCTACTCCTTAATAATAAATGCCAAAATTCCATTTGCCTTCCTTATTACCTGCTGGACTTGCATATTAGCTTTCAGTGATTCATGCAGTATGTCACCCAGATCCTGCTGCACCAAAGCACTCTGAAGCTTGAAGTTTGAAACCTAAGGGAAGATCCCATCGCACGACTTTGAAGAACAGCAGGGTCTCTCCATGTAATCTCGGTCAATAGGTATCCCTCGGTCGACAGATTTTTCTTCTACATGACCCCTGTAGCTGCACTTGAAGTTCTTTGGATGTAAATTGCTTTGTTGGATGGCAAAGGGCATATTCAATTCTTTCTCTTGTCCATAAACCTGTAAGTTCCCCATTTTCAAACACCTCATTCATAAAGTTATCCATGGAATCAGCTTACACTGCACTTTTTGGGTAGGGTGTTACAGATCTTAAGTTGTCTAAGTCCAAAAAAGACTACTTTTCATCACCCCTTTAAATCGTTGGCCAATGGCTTTTCAATTCTATAAACAATAATGACGTGGCAGAACAATGCCAGACTAATAACTAACCAGTAATTCCAATGTCCAGGAACGCTGCAGTGGACAATCTTAGAGATAGTAGGAACTGCAGATGCTGGAGAATCTGAGATAACAAGGTGTAGAGCTGGATGAACACAGCAGGCCAAGCAGCATCAGAGGAGCAGGAAAGCTCACGTTTTGGGTCCAGACCCTTCTTCAGAAATGGGGGAGGGGAAGGGGATTCTGAAATAAATAGGGAGAAAGGGGAAGGCGGATAGAAGATGGATAAAGCAGAAGATAGGTGGAGAGGAGACAGACAGGTCAAAGAAGTGGGGACGGAGCCAGTAAAGGTGAGTGTAGGTGGGGAGTTGTGGGTGGGGGGAGCGGGGGCTGTTGGATAGGTCAGTCCAGGGAGGACGGACAGGTCAAGGGGGGCAGGATGAGGCTGGTAGGTAGAGATGGGTAGTGGGGCTTGAGGTGGGAGGAGGGGATAGGTGGGAGGAAGGACAGGTTAGGGAGGCGGGGACAATCTTACTCTGTTTCTTTTAACATGTCAGTAATATTACCGGGGAAGGCCATCTTGACCAGTTTTGGTGAGAGTTTCACTGTCCGGCCATCTAGACTATTTCTGGAAACCTCAGTAAAATTCAATATTTGTCTGGCATCTGCTATCTGTTGTCATGGCTTCTGCTCTTTTGAAGATGAAGGGGCCCCACCTCAAAGAACTGTTTTTAATAAGATGTCCGACAGCTGTTCAGACCCAACAGGACCACTATTGCTGGTGATCTCTGCTGGGACTAAAGGAGCTCCTGGATAAGAAGCAGTGCACAACATCAGGAGGTGAAATGTTCTGTACCCCTGTGCCTTCCTGCTCAATTTATACAGCTCCTCCATTCCTCACAGTGGCTCAGTGATTAGCACTGCTGCCTAACAGCGCCTGGGACCTGTGTTTAGTTCCACCATTAGGTAACCGTCTGTGTGGAGTTTGCTCATTCTCCCTGGGACTGCGTGGGTTTCCTGCGGGTGTTCCGGTTTCCTCCCATGGTCCAAAGATGTGCAGGTTAGGTGGATTGGCCATGCTAAATTGTCCCCCAGTGTTCAGGGATGTGTAGATTAGGTGGGTTACAGGGGGATGTGTCTTGGTGGGATGCTCTAGGGATTCTATGAATGAATCTATGAAAAAACCTGCAACCTCATCCATTGTAGTCCTGAACTGGTCTGAGAAATGTTATTAGTTTTTAAGCATCAATGTCTCTGAGCATAAGAACAAGAAGCAACAGTAGGCCAGTCAGCTCCTCAGCCCTACTGTACCATTCAATAATAAGATCCTGGTTGATCTGAAGTTAACCACAAGTTTACATCCCTGCATATCCCCAATAATCTTCACTTGATAATCAAGAATCTATCTACCTCTGCCTTAAAAATACTGAATGATTCTGCACCTATTGCCTTTTGAGGAAGCGAGATCCAAAAACATTCAATGCTCTGAGAGAGAAGAAAACGTTTTAACATCTGTTATAAATGAGTGATTCCTTAGTTTTAAACTGTGACCCTTAGTTCTTGATTTTCCCACATGGGGAAACATTTTTCCACATCCACCCAGTCTAGGCTTTCCTCCTAAAACAATCCATTCATTCCAGTATTAGTCTAGTAAGCCTTCTCTGAACTGCTTCCAGTGCATTAGCATCTTAATGTAACTATGGTGACCAGCACTGTTACACAGTTCTCTTGATTCAGGCTTGATAGAAAAGGCAGGGCCACAAACAAGCCTGTGAGTGACTCCTTCACCTGGACCTTTAGCATTGCTAGGTCACAGTTGTGGCCACTGCCTCCCTCTCTTGAGGAGTGTGGCCCCTCCATACACTTGTAAGCCATCTATGGCCATTTTTAGAATCTGAATTTTCCTATAAAGACTGTCTCAATGTTGAAGCACATCTCTGTCTCTCTGCATGAGGAATTTGCCCATCCCACATCAATAGGTGGCTCTGTAATGTGTCAGTGCTTGAGAGCTTTGCATTGACTGTCAGGTTTCAAGATTACCCCCAGCCACCACTTCATCACCCCATGGCCACTGTAATGGGATGATGAGCTCCCTCTCCTGCACATGAATTCAAAAGCTTGTTAAACATTGTGGCTGTGCCAAGGACACCCCAACATGGGGTTGGGACTTGGATATAATCGTCATGTCCGATCCTGACCTGGGAACAGAAATCTCACCCTATGTTTTTCACTTTCAATTTACTGTTCGTTGTTAATCTCTCGTAACTGCTCTTCTCCTCCCATATTAAATTCAGTTCTGTCAAATAGCCATTATAATTTTCTGTGTTATTAACTGACTCTACCTCCAGACATTGTCATAAGCTTCATTTGTGCTCATTCATGGTGCATAAACTTTGATTTTTTTTTCCCTTCAAAGGAATATTCTTTATCTACATGTGAACTATCTCCTTTCTGAATGCCACATTGATGCGTGATTCCTTTATGAATATTCAAACATGTAAATTAGGAGTAGCCCATTCTGTCTCTTGAGCCTGTTCTGGCATTTGATAAGATCATTACTGTAGGGGCCAACATCAGTTTCTTGTTCCTATACTGTTTGACACCCACGCCAATCAAGATTCTATCTAATCCAGCATTAACCCTTTTCCCATCTACTTGTGCTAGGTCCCTTTTTTAAATCACTGAGATGATCTCTCATGGAGCATTTTTACCTTTATGAACAGCTACACAGAAAATAATGTCATAGAAACCAAATTACATTGTAGTCACTGTTCGCTGTTTGATCCCTGGTAGTAATTCGACACAATTGCAATCCCTCATTTTCCTGAACTAAATCCAATAACAGCTTCATTCTGAGTTACAATAAACTATTCTGTGCACACATTAGAAATTCTGCTCCTTCCTTATCCTCAGAAGTATGTTTTCCCCTATCTATATTCAGAAAATTAAATTTGCCTAATATTACAATGCCAATTTTGTTGCACTTTGTAAAGATTTGCCAGTAATCTCCTCTTCTCTTGATCTGAAACTTGAATTCCCAACACTGTATCTTTTCCTGCATGTGTTCCTTAAATGAGAAGATTCAGGAAATATAGGGTCTCAGAACCACATGGCACACCCAGTAAAGGTAAAATACTGTGGATGCTGGAAATATGAAACTGGAGAATGCTGGAGGAGCTCAGGCAGCATCTGTGGAGAGAGAAACACGAGTGTGCTTTGAGTCTGGTATAGCTCTCCAGAACTAGAGTGTTGTTCTTGAGCAACACTGATTCTGCCCCCTTCTTTTATTCCTACTCTACTCTTCATGCCTACTTGTTAATCAGGAACGTTAAAAATCCATTCTTGACCTTGTGTGAGCCAGGTCTCTGTTGGCATGATCTCGTGTAGTAATGTATGCTTGCAGCTCACTAACATTATTAGTTAATTATAGCCTATGAGATTTACTGCTTCCTTCTTCACACTTGCTGCTATCTCGGTATAGTTTCTATAATTTTGGAAATATTTTGAATTGCACTACAGTTTCTGTCTCTCTCTGTCTGTGTGTGTCTCTCTGTCTGTCTCTGTGATCTAGCTTCTGCTTTTAATCTTTTTCATCTTTTGGTTCCAGTAAGGATGATAAATTAGTTCAAACACTCCTAACTAATCTGTACCTCTGGTTTATAACAAATGGTCTATAACTCAATGAGTGAGATTTCTCCCCCATTATTAAGTATTGGAATAAATTGAATCTGGTTTACAATTTGATGTTGTTGAAACAAGAAGCAGATTGCTGATTAGAATTGGGTTTTTCTTGTAGTTGGGTATTAATGGTGGGTAAAAATCTGGAGGGCATGATTAAACATTTCACTTTTCTTTTCACAGAAAATTTCTGTTGCTTGCACTTCAGCTCCTGACTGGGGTCCATACTTAGAACAACACAAAGGGGAGAGATACAGAAACAGGTCCAATTCTACAGAATTGTGCACAATGTCTTGCTACATCTGAGATATAAACATCTTACAGAAAATTTGTAAATAATGGTCCTGAAAATCCACCAGCATTATGATATACATTGTCTTCCATTTTACTGAGAGTTCTGTAGAAGAGTGAGCAACATGGCTGGATCACAGAAATGCCAACTCTTGGTATTTCTGATGTTTCCCCTGTAGAGTAAATGATTTACAGTGTGTCAACACTGTAATGATAAATACTGAGCAAATATGTAACATATTGTGTTATATCTCATGGTCATAAGTATGTAAGTATGCTAAGAGACATGCTCAGAATATCATCTTTGCATCATAGCATGTGGCCTGAAGGTATAAAAGTCTCAAACTCTGTCTTTACTCAGGATGACTTGAAACATCACCATTTGAAGCCAGCTGCTCACTGCTCCTCTGTTGTAACCAGCTTAGTATGAGCCCTGATACTTAGATATCTGAAAAAGCTAATGTTTGTGTGTAATTTTTAAGTAATAAACATCTGTTGCATTCTTTAATATCATGATATCCATTCCCAGTTCCTTAAATTGTTGAAGTTAATAGAAGCATTGCCACATCAGGTAAAAATGCTCTGCTGGAAGCAAAAATGTCTTTTCTGGTAATGGAAAGTCAACATTTCATTCACCAGTTTTCTGCTTCTGACCACTGACTTTTACTGATTTGTGTGTTAGATCTTCAGATCAAATCATTTACAAGTTGGCCAAAGTTCCCAAAGCTTCTACCAATGAACTACAGAGGGAGGTGGCTGGATGGTTCACTTGTCAAATTCTTCACCTGTCATTGTGTGAACATCTCGCAAAACATCAAATGAGAGAGACCTCAAATTCCTGCTCTGTGAGCTTGATCCAGTAACAAGACACATTTTGGAATTCGAGATAACAAGATGTAGAGCTGGATGAACACAGCAGGCCAAGCAGCATCAGAGGAGCAGGAAAGCTGACGTTTCGGGCCAGCTCTACACATTGTTATCTCGGATTCTCCAGCATCAGCAGTTTCTACCATTTCTGTAACATTTTGGAATTCATTGTGCCTCCAGAGGCCAAAAGCAACTATGTATCTTGTGACTATCCATCTCCTATTCCCATTAACAATAAGCTATAGTTTCCAGCACTGTCACTGGCCTCATCTCCTCTCGAGATCTCCCCTCCATAATTTTACACTTCGTAGTCCCTCAACCCTGTACAGCCCACTTCTCCCTCCTTCCCAAAATCCACAAACAGAACTGGCCTCACTGAACTTGTTTCTTCCTCTGTTGACTTTATTTCTCCCCTCTTATTCAGCCTCTTCCCACTTGAATTCATGATTATTCTGACACTTTAAATTGTTCCCACATTTTCCAGTTTTCTAGCCCTGGCCACTGCCTCTTCACCATAGATGTCTGATCCTTCTTCACAACTGTTCCCCATCAGGATGGTTCTGAAGGGTTTCTGCTTAGCTCTTGAAAAGATGCCTCTAAGCAGTTCCCTTCCAGTGACCAGTGGGGTTCCACAAGAATCACTGCAGGGATCACAACTATTTACAATATATGTTTGTTCATGACTTGGAGGAAGGAAGTGAATGCACAGTAGCCAAATTTGCAGATGACGCAAGGCAGATTGTGAGAGGGATACAAACAGTTTGCAGAGATATTGAAAGTTTAAGTAAATTGGCAAAAGGAGTATGTGGGAAAGTGTGAATTTGTTCATTTTGAAAGGGAGAACAAAAAAAACAGAATATTATGTAAAGGGAGAAAAACTGCAGAACGCTGCAACACAAAGGGCCTTGGAGGTACTTGTCCGCAAAATACAGAAAGCTAGCACATATGCAGCAGGTGATCAGGAAGGCTATTGGAATGGTGGCCCTTATTTCAAGGGGGTTGAAGTATAAGAGTAGGGAAGTCTTATTGCAACTGTACAAGGCTCTGGTCAGTCCCTATCTGGAATACTGAGAACAATTTTGATTCTCTCATTTAAAGAAACATATTTTATCGGAAGCCGTTCAGAAAAGGTTAATTAGGATGATTCCTGTTATGGAGGGATTGTTGTATCAACAAAGACTAAACAAGTTGGGACTCTGGTCTCTGGAGTTTAGACGAATGAGAGGTAATTTTATTGAGACATATAGGATTCTTAAGGGGCTTGACAGGGTAAATGCTGAGAGGATGTTTCCCTTCATGGGAGAGTGTAGGACCAGAGGGCATAGATTCAGGGTGCCAAATTAAGACTGAGATGCAGAGTAATTTATTTTCTCAGAGGGTTGTGAGTTCTAGCAACTCCTTGCCACAGAGATGTTTGGGGTAGAATCCTTGTGTATTTAAGGCTGAGATAGATTCTTGATCAGAGGAATCAAAGGTTATGGAGAAGTGGATGTGAGGAATGTTGGATTAGCCATGATCCTGTTGAATGATGCAGCGGGTTTGAGGGCTGAAAGCCTACTCCTGTTCTTATTTCTCATGGTCTTACGGTCTAAGATGTGTTAATGGATCTGACGGGGGTAAAATTTAAGTAGCTTGTTAACGGTCACCCATTGTCTGCTGATGACTAACGACATCTGATTGAAACTCTTGAGAATTTTGGAGAACTTTAATCACACATTCTGAACTTTTGCATGTGTTGCCACTGGCAAAGAAAGCACCAGACTCCAGGGAAACAACTCTGTCATCTTCAACACTCACCAGCTTCTGAGGGTCTTTGAATTCACATTAAAGCAAACTTGTCCTCTATCTATTAACATCACCAAGAAGTGCAATCTCACCTTGTTGCCTTGTTCCCAACTTGGAGAAACTCTACAGTTCCTCACCCCAGCCATTTGAACTCTGATCTACAAGTAAACATATCACTATCAAACAGCATTTCCTGTTAGCCTTTCACAGTAAACAGGATATTAACCAGAGCCAACCAGAAAAACTCGCAACACAGTGTCCATCATTAGATGTGATTCTGCAATTGGACAACACTTGCTATATGATCTTAAACATGTGAAGAATGACACGGAGAGTCAACTAAGAACTATCAATTGATTTTACAGTTTGACACTGTAGCATGTAATGGAAATTACATGTACTAACCACAGGGCCCTGTCCTTTGTGGACAGAAAGAACATGTATACACACTTATTTTGTTGAATTGGAGAAAGCATAAGCGACAGGCATTCTGTGGTTTCTTTCTAAGGGCTCTGTCCTGACCAATTCAAATCAACTTGCCTGGTTTAAAATGTAAACAAAATTTAGCAGTTAGTCATAATTACCTGGTGCATTCTGATGTGTGGGAGTGTGTGATAATAGAACCATGGCTATCATAGCAACTAAGGTAAGGTTGAAGTGTAAGTTTCAATGCTGTTTGAGTAATTTAAGGAATATTAATCTCTAGGAACAATTCTAATCTTTCTCATTCTATAGACAAGCTATGTGAATAAAGCCCTGAGTATGCCTGGCATATTGGGAGGTGACGGCCTGGTGGTGTTATCACTAGACTGTTAATCTAGAGACCCAGGATTGTTCTGGGGACCTGGGTTCAAATCCCAGGAGTTTGAATTCAGTAAATTGGAATTTGAGATAAAGAGTCTGATGATGACCATGAATCCATTGTCAATTTTTGGAAGACCTATCTGGTTCTCTAATATCCTTCAGAGAAGGAAATCTGCCTTCCTCACCTATTCTGGCCTACACGTGACTCCAGACCCACAGCAATATGGTTGACTCTTAACTGCCTGGGTAATTAGGGATAGGTAATAAATGCTGCCCCAGTCAACAATGCTATCACCCTGTGAATGAATTTTTAAAAAAACTCATAATACTATTTTAATGGGAAAGTTGAAGGCTGAATAAATATGAAGGTCTGAACATTGTATTTTTTTTTTTGGCGAATGTTAGTCTGCTCATCCCCCGATGACAACTTCTATCCATTAGACAGCTAATAGACGTTACATTCTTGAGAAGGTATGTTATCAACCAATTCAAACAGGACAACTGTTTTCATCAGCAACAGCAGGATTATCACTCGATTGAGGAGTTGATTCATTAGCGGCAGCAGACTCTCTACAGGACACGCGTTAGGTAAGGGCAAGAAATAGAACATAGAATTATCCTTATGTCTGATTTAAATTTAAGATTCTTCGATCTCCTGAGCATTTAGTTTGACACAAATTGTTTGGTAGAAGTCAGATAAAAGAAGCAGATAATGTGAATGGTGGGATCTAGGTGGGAAAGTGTGCAATCGTGCACTTTATATACAGAAAGAAAGAAAACAAGGTGAGAGGCATGGAGATGTGACAAACCAGAGGCCTTTGATGTTTTCATCCACAGTATCTCCAGAACCTCGAGCAACCATACAAAACAAAGAAAAGGGCTGCTGGATTTACGGTCTTTATCTCCAGGGATTGAAATCTGGCAATGAAGAAGATATAAGAGTCTTGTTTAGATCCCACCCAAAGTACAGCAAGGAGCACACATTCATCAAGGCCATATCGGGGATTAAAAGATCAAATTATGAGGTCAGGTTACATCAATGTAGTTTACATTCTCTTGAGTTTTAAAGACTGAGGGTGATTTAATTGTGGTGTTTATCAAGAGAAGATAAAGGGTTTGATGAAGTAGATACAGAGGAACTGTTTGCTCTCGGTGAGGGAATCCAGAAGAAGGGACAATAATCTGAGTTGAGTTGTTCTGGTATGAGGAAATTGCTGATTCATTATCACTGTTTTATATCTTTACTCATTGAGCACACTAGAAATTAATATCTGGTAGATGTAAACCAGACTGTGGACTCATTATAGCCTGTTTTATAGTCAGTCAGTCACAATCCAGCTCAGTGTGAGAGAGATTTGGAACACTCTGCCTGATGTAGGGTACAGACTGTAACAAGACAGCTGTTCAAAATGTCACGACGCTGTCCTGAGAATGTCATTGTACAAGTTTCAGGAGGGTGTGAGTGTTGGAATTTAATGGTGCTTGATTATCTGCAGTCATTGTTTATATGGTATTAATGGAGTGATGTATTATATCTCCATGAGAAACATTTACTTTTCCACAACATGAAATTGAATTTCTTATGTGAATGTAACGTCCCTGCAGAGATGTTCAGGGTCATGAGTTTCCAGCTTGGTGTTTGACAAACAGCACAAGCTTACACTGTGTCAGTGACGTACAATACCAGGGATTGCCTGACTACAGGTAAACAACTATGAACTGTTTTTATGTAACTCTACTTGACAAAACTCTAACCCCTTGTCATATTCTCCTTCTACATGCACACACAGACACAGACAGACAAGAGATGCATTGGAGTGTCTATCTGATAGGCAAGTTGGAAACTTTGACAATGGTTTTAACTTTTGTGATGACCCTGGGAATAGAGGAGCTTGATTTCCCGAATACTCTCCCAGTAAAATCATAGCTTGTAAAGGCATCTTAGATCTCACTAAGGAGCAGAAAATCAAGATGGGAGAAATATTGGAGGTCTTGAAATCCCAACTGGAGTCCTCTACTGATGCTAGTTATGAACAGTACTTAATTTCATAC